TGTGGTGGGGGGGGTGTAAAAACATAGTAAATTCATATTTTAGGTTATAAAAACACAGCAGTTTGTGTATTCACTCATTCACAGAATACATTTCTGTAAATTACAGTATTTACTGGGTCCACTAAAACCGAAAGTCATATGCCTAATTCACCATATCCCATTCATAGATTTTCTTCACATTCTCATTAAATTGACCACTTTCAATTTCAGCCTTTCTGATGGACAACACACTAAAATACAACTTTAGGTCAAGTCACAACAACAACAACTTGCATTGATATGGAGCCCTTCAGGTGGGGTAGCATCTCAGAACACTTTTGTCTCAGATAAAACAAACTAGTAATTGATTTGCAAAAGCTGGCGGTCTCTCTAAAGGATATTTTTTAAATGGAATGTTAGTTCTTATGAATAAGAAAAAATGTTGGAAAAAATATAAAGGAAATGCAGCACAAAGAATGGTATTATTTGCCTTTTAGATTCACTCTTTGAACATTTTTGTGCCAAGGGATAAGTATTTTAAATTGTACAAGAAGAAAACAGACACACTGCTTAAGAAGTTACTGGGAAATATGCCACTGACTGAAAAGGTGATGTTTAGTAGAGACATGGATTAATTATGGTGTAAATGAAAGGGCTTCACTGACAAACATCCAAATGGAAATCCTTTAGGGAGAGATTTAATAGTTTTCTGGCACCTACGCACTTTCGTACTTGAGAGCTCTTTGCATAAACTTGGATTTAAATGTTAACCCTACCTGCAGACATTCTGCTAGGATCATTCAATAGGTACCTACAAGTCATGTACTCCTTTGATTTAACAAACAAACTATTAATGTTGCGCACCTCAAATAGTCTTCAGTAGTAAGTAGCCTGCATCCTCCATGGTTACTCTTATTGCAAGCAGCACCAAGGAAGGAATGGGGATATGCAGCCACCCTTTTTGGGTGGCAGCACAGCAAAAACAGGAAATATCATGGAAACCTGTGGGAACTCAGCTCCAAAAATAGATTGCATCAAAGCAGAGTCTTGAGACACACACCCCTTACCTTAACAAACAGTCCATGTCGAAATGGCTGTTTATTAGTCCCCAATAATAATATTACCAATTACATCATTGATTAGTACTTTTAACCAGAGAAAACATTTCTTGTTAAAAAAAAGGGCAGTGCTACCGAAAGGTTGTTTGCCACAGATACAGATGTGATTCATACTCTGATAGAACAGTTGTCAAATTCATTAAAAGCAATAATGCATTTTTTTGTAACATACTCATATTGATAAATAGCATTAAACATTGAGAAGCTTTGCAGCCATTATCTGAATGTATTATGTGATCAATGTGAATTTTCCACGCGGCAGACCTAAATAAAACTTTTAGTTAAATTCTTGCATTAAAATTAAACAGTTATACAGACTGAGCCTTTACAGTGTCCTTCATCCTCTATAATTATCCTTTCATGCCAGTCGTTCCCTCGTTAAAATCTTTACATTGCCAGAAGATAGCCTTAAACCAAACTTTGAAAGTAATGCCAGATCATGTTACCAAAAAGAATACATTGGAATTTCAGAAAAAGATTCATTCACAATGAAAAGTTCATGGGGATTTAGGTAAATTATGACACAACAGTACGTTCCTGAGTTTACAGGTCAAATTGTTCCACATTTATTCAAAAATTAGAGGTTAGCGAAGCATTTTTAGAAATGTGAAATTCCAATTTAATTTTTTTACATTAAACCTGCAGTGAAAAATGCTAATTAACTCAGCATCAAGAAACTGAATAAAACCTATTGCTCCGGGTTTATGGGTGTAATATCTATATCTTTATTCATTTCATCCCAGGACCAAAAAGATTAAATATTTCTGACATCAAATCTGGGAGAATTGCAAACACTTGGATATAATGAAAACTTTTTTTTTTACATGAGCAATATTCCAATTTTAAAAGCATCATTATTCAGCTAGTTATTTTTCAATGTCTTTAAAATATTTACGCACTAGATGCTGCAACATCTTTAGCATTTGAAGTAGCAAAATATTTCAAACACTGAACAAGAGACACGCAAGTTTTATTATTCTGAGGTTTTTGCAGAACTTTCCAATTTCTGAAATGAGTGCAAAGAGTTTCACAGATAACAATAATAATGTATAGCATTTGATATACCCTTGCATTTGATATAGCGCTTATCACATCTTCAAGACGTCTCACAGAATATACTGCAAAGAGAATTGACTATATTTCGTGGGCGAACCATGGCAGCCAATTGCACACAGCAGTGTCTCACAAACAACTGTGACCAAATTATTATTATTATTTCATTATATTAGAATGAATTATTTCTGCCACATTATTTGGACAATTTTTTAAAAAAATGTCTATTATGCAATAATGATTTGTAGGAACTAAATACTGCACAGAAGAGTAAACTTCAGATAAACTGTGTGAAATTATTTTTTGACCGAATGAGCTCCCCATTAGTAGCTAAGTTTTCAATTAAAATACAAGGTCAGGTGATTTTTTAAAGAAATAAAGAGTTTCATAAAAAACATCCACGAGCACACTGATGTTCACGGTAAGGTATACCTTACCAGAGGTATAAAATAAAAAGATAATTTCTAAATAACAAAAATTTACAAATAATCAAATAAATGTTACAATAATTTTAGAAACAAAACTATCATTTATAATGTGTTAAAATAGGATTATTTCAGTATTTATAAGAAAGGGTTTTATTTGTCAACATCAACTGGGGGATACACACTTAATTGTGTCATTCTAACTGGCTTAGTTTTCAAGGAAGATGACCAAAATGGAGCATTTATTTATATTTAAAATTATTAACAACTACGGAAACAGTTTTCAACTTTTTTCTGCCACCAGTTAGTTAACCTTAACATTCACTCAAGCCAATCTTTCCTCTTTCTCCACTTTATTTTCCAAACAAAGATGCAGAAGTAGCTAGGAATTATTTTTGTTTTGGCTAAATTAGAGCTATGACAGTTTGTAGCACCGGAGTCTGTGAGATGCAATGACACCAGGTTATGATTAACTAGAATAGTATTGGCTTCAGGGAGTCTTCATGCAAAAAACATGTTTGAGAAAGCATACCTTTGTGTAAAGCATGTTGAAAACATCAGTATTGTATTCGTGAATGTGGTCCCAATTCTAATGACTCTGAAGTCCTTTAAGGATTTTACTTTTATATTCTTCTGGATATTTTATCTTGTGGTAGGAAAGGGGAAATAAGTGAATGTGACTGCTGTGTGGGTGTATAGTGGGGTACAGCTGATGTACAATATTCAACAGAGAACGTGAATTCAGTGAAAGCGGCTAGGTTCAAAACCTTTTAAAACATTTTTAATTTAAACGCTGTAATTAAAATGTTCTGAATCAATCCTTTATGACAGGTTAACAATTAAAAAAAATGTTCATTGAATGTTCAAACATCTCCAGTTCAAGCTTATTTTGCTTCTCAGCACATTTCATTTTATTTGAACACATGAACGTTAATGTACTCAAGAACAATAATAGATTGCCTTCAACTTTTTTTTATATAAATGTGCTAAGTAAAACACAACAAGTGCTTTCAGAATATTTTAAACCCCTTCATCTGGGTCTCAGCAAAACAGCGAGGTTGATAGAAATGCAACAGTGATGTACTGTAGAAAGCTAGAGCTTTCAGCTGGGTCTTTTGGAGAAACACTCTATATTTCAGTGCTAAAAATATTGGATTTTGGGGACAAGTTCCTTTAAAAAAAAGTTTAAATATATATTTCAAAAATTATGTTCATGTTTTTTTCTGCAATGAAATTACTGCTTATTGCTTTTTCTTTCATTTATTCAAATGATTGTACGATACTAATCAGAAACCTTAATAAATCAACATTTTCAAATGTGTAATTTCTATTTTATTATTAATTAATGTTTATTATTATTAATTGTATAATATAATAAAATAATTAATGTTAATTAATATTTTACTAATAGAATTGCTATTTTATCTCACATTCCAGTTTGAGAAAAAAAGCTTTTAGCCAAGGTTATTTTTCTCTCAATTTATTAATCATATGCCAAATGAGTGTTTTAAAAGAAATTAATATAGATTTTAAGAGCATTTGTGCTGCTAATATATATGTAATATTTCTTATGGTTTACCAGTTACAAAATACGACTGAACACAACTTGAATTACAGAGAAAACAGTGTTTTCCCCTTGAACGTTCTATCGTGCATTAACTCTATTTATTTGATGTTAATGTGCCTATAATTTTATTTTTAATTGTATTGTATTTAAAAATATCAAAAGAATTGGTCAATATAAAAGTTCTTCTATCAACTGACCAAGGAGACTATAATTTCCAATTTTATGTGGTGGAGGGAGGGGAGAGAGAAAAGATGAAAGGGCTGAGAAGAGAACGTTTAGTTCTCCATCAGTAGGAGAAAGATTAAAAATACTTGTGAAGAATTACTAGGCAGCAATCCTCATCTTGGGATTCAGTGAAGCTTAAGTGTATATAGCAGTGAACCATGTCATTGAGAGGAGATGACTAATTTGATTAGAACAATCTTGAGGGTTTTCCGTCTTTTTTGGGGTGCGTGAAATGTTACATAAACCTGACATCCAGTGTGCTGCATGTCCGCATTGAGGATTTGCTATTGATGTGATGAATTGTTTATCAAATGAAATCAAATATCTGCAGTTGGCTACCAGAAAATAATGTTGAATCATACAGAACAAAAATTACAATTATTAAAGAAAAGCTCAGTGAAACACGAAAGCCACTTTGACCTTGAACCTGCCTGTTAGGTGGAACACAATATTAGCAATGATATGTAAAACTGCAAGGCATTTAGATGAGAATTAAGAAGATTGATCAGTACTCAGAGATACACAACAGAAAGCAAAAGATCCATCAAACTATTAAAATAATGAAATAAAATTTTCCAATATTAAAATGTTTTAGAAACAGGTTTATGGTAAACCTTCATATTGTTACATTACCTCTCCGACGTCATAAACCCATACGTGTCCTTCTGAGTCTCCTACTGACACTTCTCGTCCAGTCTGTGCCCATCTCACCCTATTCAGTGCAGATGTACCCTCAATAGTTGCACTAGCTGTCGGTACCTAAAGCGGCAAAAATAGAGCAAAGTAGTTCCGACTTCAGTAATTGACATTTATTAGTCAAAACACTTTCCAATCGGAAAATAAACAGTGTAACCTGGTAGTAAAACTTACTACAGTAATTCATAAACAGGAAGCTCCTGAATCGCTATTATGCTGCAACTCAATTTTAGGCTTCTACATTTGCTTTGAGAGGCAAAGTTTAAAGAGACAAAAAGAATGCCAGTATCACTTTTGATTCAGTTTGGTGAAATTAAATACAGAAATCAGATAAACAGGATAGATTTTTTTTGAGAGCTGACAATTGTATGAAACATACTCCACTGCATCCTTTATCTTTGTTCGTCAGATCTCAATTTGCAACAATTAGGAAAACTGCCGTCAAGTCTTATTTATAGGTCAGCTACAAAAAATACTGAACATTTAAGTGATTTTTTTATGTTCATAATAATGACATTCAGATCCTATTATGTGTGATAAACTGAGACAGCAAAGAGTGGGGGAATAGAACAAAACTGAAAATCCCATTAGACTCGTACAAGCCAAAGTTGTTGAGGTGGGGGGAGGGCGGAGAAGAGTAAAAAAAATTTATCAAATTTGCATTTACGCAGATAAGATTACTGAAAAATGTTGTGTTTTCAGAAGATTTTATTGCTCGACACGGAAGCCCTCAAACACACCAACAAGAAGGGATAATTTGGAAACTGATAAATCAGTGCCTTCTCTGACCAACTAATTTCATTTTTAAGATTTTTTAAATTAACTGTTAATGAATAATGTTAATGGAATTATGGAATGATTTGTCCATTTCAGGCTGACTGCATAAGCAACACATAATAATTCCTTGCATTTGATACAGCACCCTATTGCGTCATTGAAACATCTCAAAACGCTTCATACGATTTACTGTGAAGTATGTTGGCTGTATTTGAAGGCAACCACAACAGCCAATTTGTGCACAGAAAATCCAACAAGCAGTCATACAAAGTGAATGACCTTAAATAAGCCCTCGAGTAAATAGTAGTAGTTACTGTTCTACCACCAACAATGTGTCTTAGATCTAGTCTGAAAAATATTATTATGATGTTCAAATCATTAAGTTGAGAAGAAAATGTACAGTATGTGGGTCATTGACACTGAACAATGTATACCATATACAGAGACCTGTAGTGAACAACACGTGTGTGACATATTGCTTTGTAGAGTGGTGGTATCAAAGGTTAAACCCATAATTCTCCCCCCATTATGCTGAGTTTATTAGCTTGGTCATGATATCAATCAAGATCTGTGGGTTTTTTTCTGTGTCTAGAACGGAATGCTCACTCGCTCCCTGAAATGACTCAAGCTACTTATTTAATTTTCTGTAGAATATTAGGTGCAGGTTGACAAGAGTCAAAGCTTGGGAACCCCAGAGGTTGTGTTGGGGTACTGCTGGGAATTTAACCAGCTTAAACACATACTTTACCATAGAGAGCACTATCTGGCAAGTGTCCTGCTCCTTATCCAGCTAGGACTACCCCACTCATTAGGGCTTAGGTTTAACGGGAGCGAAGTGGACAGAATCCCTGCTCCTAATGACTTTAAAACGCTGGAGACATACTCCCGGCACTTAAAAATGCAACGATTATCTTTCTAAGACACTTCTTCACACAAAGAGTCTACAAATGTGGAGTGCAATATCCAGAAGGCGTGAATGTAGAATCTCTAGAGAATATTGAAAAGGTAGACGTAAATACTTGGAAAATTAGGGTATTATGGAGATTAAAATGGCAGGACAGCCTTGAATGTTCCTCAATGTTCTTGATCTAAACTGTGGTGCTGTGTCAAGTGGGTGCAGATGGGTAGGGAAGATTGGAGGAGAAGTGATCAAGACTTGGAGGAGCTTACTATCTCTAAATTGACCCAGGCAATGTTGTGTGAGCAGTTGCCCATCTGCCTGAGTCACAGGTACATGCTCTGGGACAGAGAGAGAGAAAGGAATTAATTACACATTGAATGAAAGCAAAGAGATTTTGAAAAATCTAAAAAAGAATTGAGTTGGTCAAGCCACTGAAGGAATACTTTAATGGAAAAACAACACTTTCTTCTTTACTCATCAATGTGGTGATCTGGCTAACACCTTTCATGCAAACCATTCATTCCAATCGTTTGGTGTCTTGAATTAAACTCTAGCAGTTAATAGGAACAAAATAAATATCGATAAACCAGAACAAGAGAAAGCTGACGAACCTGTTCCACCAGTTTAGTAGATCTTGGTAGATCTTTTCATCATAATTCCCCGCCCTCTCCCATCCCCCTTAATGTCTCTATTATCTAAATAGCTGACTTGCTTTTAATATAGTGCCTTTCATGTCACGACATCTCAAAATGTGGTGACTGTATTTGGTAGCATCCCTATTGATTCTGCCTCGAGAGCTTTCTAGGACAGAGCATTCCACATCTTCACAATAGACAGACCCCAACTACCAATGGTGGGACATGAAGCCGGACCAGAGGGAAGAGTCATCCAACTATCTAACCTGTCGAATCCTTTCATTATTTTAGCCACTTCAATCAAATCACCTCATAAACTTGTCTGCTCTAAGGAATATAACCCTAGTCTATCCAAGCTCTCATCACAGCTAAATGATCTTGATAGTTAAAATGTCATATTTCACCAGCTTTCACCACGGGCAGCAGCTTGCCCAATAGCCACATTGAGCTTCACACTAGAAAATACAAAAGCCCACTGTGTTGAGGTCCACATTTCTTTAATGCTGCAATAATAAAGTTTGCCCTAACTGCATAGAATTTAAAAAAGCAACACATTCCCTCTGAAGGAGGTTAGAGTAGATATTTCCAACCAAACTGAGGATATGCAGCTGGCAACAAAATGGTACCTTAGTGGTAATGTTTATATTAGAAATGGATAGCTTTTTTTTTTACACTTTGGATGCAGGCAGATGGCTCACAATGATCTTTTCCGGTCCACGTACATTCCAATTTCCCAGTATTTTAAACATATAGGGAGTGAGTTTGTAACATTTTTATCAGAGTAAATTTCAAACATATTTATTCTGGGATAATGTGTACTCCAAGGCACCAGAATACACACCAGGATCATTTTGAATGATTGAAGATTCAGGAGGGATTGAAAACAAAAAGTTGGAATTCTGTAGAGCAATTCTGGAACTGAAATGGTTAAATGCTTAAAGTAAAAAAAAGGATCAATGGGAGCTTCTCATCAAGCAAAACTGAACGTTTGTGGTAATCTGTCTAAACTTGGTATGTACATGGATTTCCCAAACAAATAAAATACCTGACAATGTTCAACTCCTTCTTGAAACATGGTTAATCTAGAAACAGCTCTCCCTGCTCATATCCTGCAGCTGTGTGGTTTATAATTAAAAAGGCTGCTCTGCTTCCTGCTGTGGACACTTCAAAAGATTTTTTCATCTGCAGTCCACTGACATCCAGCTTGAAATGACTTACGTGCCCACATTTTTTATTTATAGTCAATATCAGTGACATTAGAGAACAAATAATCAAAATGATTTGTGAACTATATATAATCCAAACAAGAACAAATATTTTTTAAAAACTAATCCTACTTATCTTGGTTTCATGTTTGTCAAAATATTAAATGGGAAAAACTGAACAATTTTTATGAATTATATTTTCCCATTCCCCTCTCACCCTCAGAGCAAGTCAATGAGGTAAATTGTGAATTTGTAAAATGTTGAGATTATTATGCAAAATGCAAATTTAAATAACCATGGTATTGCCTCCCTAATGAAATCTTAAGTTGTGTTTTATGACGCAGATCAGATAAAATTCAAGTAATTTCTTAATTTATTTTCATTTGCCATCATTCTGGGAGACACTGAAGCTGAAAATTAAAGGGTTGTAAAAAGAAACATCAGTATTCACCAAGCAGAAACAGTTCCAATATTGCACTGCAACCCGCCAAAGGATTCGTGGGACACAAAGGGTTAATGCTGTCCTCACCTCAGTGTCATTATTGAGGTTCCAGAGGTCTAATCGTCCCATCCCATCCACACAGGCAAACAGTGCAGGATGCACTGGTGACCACATGACGTCGTAGACATAGTCTGCATTGTCTTCAAAGGAGTAGAGAGGCTTGTTGTGCTGCAAGGCGGAGAGAGTAAGAAGACTTTGTGGCGCTAGTGCTGCCTGAGGCTGTCTGGCAAGTCTAATTAAAAACTTTGCACATTTACAAAGTGTCATAAACCAATGAGATGAAAGTCTGCAAAGGTGTGCTCTAACTTCAATGCAACAGCTGTCCAGCAAGATAAATAAAAAAAATTCCTTAAGACTGTATGAGGAATCCCAGACAGGTAGACGTACAGACCTTTAGCTCACAATTCATTCAGGACAAGTAGGAGGTTACATGTACAAATGAATCAAGCTGCGGTAAACCTGCCAAGGATTATGGGATTCTTCAAGTGAATGAGTCAGTTGAAATGCAAGCCTTGAGATAATAGCATGCCATGATAGATACAGAGTGCCATCTAGTGAGGAAAAGCATATGCAGCAGTAACTGATGCAAACCATTTCCCTGGTGGCCACATAACCTCTTCTGATTATCTCCACTCCAGATATTTTATTTACAAGGTGGGTAGCTATGAGGACTAACTGAACGGCTACGGCAAATTGTTCAACTTCACAGTTGAATGTACCGGTCATTGCTGCTAGCTATCATTCTTTATCACAAAACATTTAAATGAAAATGATCTCTCTCTGCCTCCCTACATGTTTACGTCTTAGTGGGAGTCATATATGCCATTTTTTTGCCCATTTGCTAAAATAATTTAACATTTAGATCCATACTGCTCCGCTTCACCAGACATACTTAGTTCAATGCCTTATAATAAATAATCCTTGCATTTGGTAGAGAGTCTTATAATGTTGAAAGGACGTCTCAAAGCGCTTCACAGGAATTTGCTGTGAAATGGAGTAACTGTATCTGTGGACAAATGACGCAGCACAATTCTATCTGTGTAATCCGTGTTTAGACAGCAGTGGCATTAACTCTTTGTTGACCTCCACTGCAACCTAAAACCTCCCCAAATTCGTTTTGGTGAAGAAAAAAATCACCCTCCTACCATCACAAAGCAGAATACAATACACAGAAGGGTTCTTCGAACATTGATTGCACTGCATGAATTATTTTCTGGACCACAAAGGTAACATTTCCATCTCTAATAAGAGTTTGATACTAAATGACTGCAGAATCTATTTTCTTGCATGGGAACTGATTCTGGACACGTAAACAAACTAATTATAAGTTGAGTTTGCATTTGGCAGCTATAGAAACAATAATGGATTGTATGACAACACACAAAATGGTGTGTATGGTCAGCTCCTTATAATCAGCTGTTACCCTGGTATTTGGTGACAGAAATCCCTAGATTTTTGAATAAATGTCCAATGTTTACACAAGGGAATGTTACTTTCTGCTTATTATTCATCAGTCGATTACAAGATGCAACATTTGGACATTTGGAGTCCAAAGGAGGACAATATCTGACAGGTTGTGCACATAAGACATTCTATGAAACCATTTTTTTTTGGTGTGGGGGGGGGGTGGGGGCAGGGCCGTTTAACACAGATTAGTAAAGAGCACAATCTGACAGAGTGACATTTTCACTAAGTATAGACAAAATTGCATCAAACCTGCAGATCAAACCTCTTTCAAGTATCAGCAACATAGCTTTGCAAAAATATTTGAAGTATGACTCATTTATTGCAAACTGCAAATTGTTTTAATTTGAGAATCAACAATAATGCATACATAAAATATCACTATGATGTAAGGAATCAAATAGAACAGTTCACAATTTACATTTCCAATCAGGGTAAAAAAAATTGTACTCTGTATTGTTTTATTTGTGTCAACTTGTCTGTTAAACAACAACTTGCACCTTTCACTTAGGAGAAAAGTCTCAGAGCACTCTTCACTGACGGAGTTGGAGTCCAAGCAAGTAGAAAATGGAGGGTGAGGCGAGAGCTGACCAAACACACAGTCAAAGGGTAAGTTTTTAGACAGATTTTGATAGCAGGGAGGGAGGAACAAGTAGCTGAAAACTTGTCAAACCTTGGCTTTAAAAAAAAGCTGAGGTCCCAGAACTAAATTGAAATCAGTATAAATATTGTTCATTCCAATAGCTCTGAAATTGTACAGGTGCTATGGTTAAGCAAATTACCTGAACTCAAGCAGGTTGCACAAATGATATAACTGGTCAGCAACAACTCAAAATAGTTTTTAAGCCAATAATATGTACAGTAGAGGAGAACTGATTTGCAATCTGCTTAGCAATCTGCTGATTCAGTTGAAACGCAAATGCACTTGAAGGAAAAACCCAATCCAACAATCCCATTTGGAATTGCTTAAAAATAGTGTTTGCAATAAATTCAGTCTGAAGATAATACAAGCTGATTACATGTTTGTGGCTTGTTCTTTAAGGCAACACATTCTTTACGACTGAGTTTGATAAATGAGTCAAAACAACAAATGGAATGACTGGTTTTCTGATGTGAGAAAATCAAAGTGTTTGGCAAGAAAAGGGAAGAATGTGTTATGACAGATAGCTGAACATCCAGGGCGTTAACCAGTCAACCACTGAGAGGAGGTGGGTTAACAAGAAAGCCCACATAAGGCATGCTTTAATAACAACACTTCAATTTTCCACTTCAGTTCCAGAAACAGTATGGAAGCGGGAAAGATACATACAGAAGCAACATGTAAATTTGGGATTTGACACCTGATTTTCATTATAAAAGTTTGCATCATCTAAATTTTTAAACATTGTTCCATGGAATGTTTCCCCTCCCTATCCACCCGAGGGGGTAGATTTATTTTGTGTAATTCTCCTCCCACCACACAGTTCTTCAGCTACAATGGTGCACTTACTGGATGTGTATGGACATGCTGTATATTGTTGCTCCCCTTTGGCAGTCATAAAGTACTTGCTATGGGGGTGCATTAGTTTCTTGCTAATCTTTCAATGTGCATTTGACTATCTTTCACTTAATAGCATGGCTAACATCCATCAAAACATATAAAGCTTGAATCTCAAAAAACTTGTTGTAAATGCAAGAGCTGCGTGTTTCAAAACAAGGAGGGGAATTTGCAACTTTTCTCCCATTTTAAAGCCAGAGAAAGCTGAAAGCCCCTTAAAAAACTCCACTCATAGGAAGAGACCATTCAGTCCATCAAGCCTATGTTGGTGCACTCAAGTTAACTAGTTGAACACTAATTTCCTACACTTTCCCCATACCCTTTTATGTTATTCTGCTTCAAATGTTTTCCTAATTCCTTTTAAATGATATATTCGCAGGCTCAATAGCCACTGGTAGCAAAGCTTTTTGTGTTCTAATAAAAGGAAGTTTCAAGTTTCTTCTAACCACTTCCCTTAACTCTTTCAGAAGCAATTCTGAAAGTATGCCAGCCCTGTTTTCTTCTCCAGCTTCCCTGTTACCAATTTACCAGGTAGCTGGAATAAGACCTTAGTTTAATGATATCTAGTCTGCATGAGGTACCACTGATTTGAAGGTTTTTTATGCAGAAGCACTTTTTTGATACCAAATAATAGCAAGAGCCCAATAGTCAACCAGGAGCTGGATAACAAAATCACCTGGAGGACTGCTGACACCCAGAGAAACTCCATTCTCTTTTCAAATAGTGTCATTGGATCTTAAAACATTCACCTGCAGCACAGGCAAACAGGACCTCAGTTTAACGATATCTAATCTGCATGAGGTGCTACCAATTTGCAGCATTTTTTTTTGCAGAAGCTGTGGGAAATTTATGTGTTACAAAATCAAGTCCACGTCTGCATTACACTGAGACAGGAGTCAGTCATGCTGACATGAAGTGCCCGCAGGAGGTGAAAGTTCCTCCAATTACGACTCAGATACACTGAGATTTCAAGTTTTGACACTGCCTAAAACCAAAGCAAACTCCTGAAATGAAACTCAACATTTACAAGGGGTGGGGAGAAGCTGTAGAGTGAAAGAATCAGTCACTAAACATTAACTTTTTTCAGTCTGGGATGCCCCAAACTATTTGTAACAATAAAAAGCTCATCAGTTGAACTGATAGACCCATGGCACTTTGTGTTTCTCAAAATAAAACATCTGCAGAATTTTTAGGATTATAAAAACATCAGAAAGCAAACAAATAGTCCTGCTGTGCAAGCACATCATATTGCAAGGCTGCTTGAGTTTTCATGAATCTGTGCATCTCCAAATCAATTGGGGAAAGAGCTGGCTTTGACACAGCCAGTCTGGATTTGTGATGCACAATATTAGTAAAAGGCCGAGGCTACAGAAAGTAAAGTACAAAGCAGGCATGAATCCTCAAACATGAAAGAGTTAGCAATACGAGAGTTATTCTTACCTTTGTAGTCCACAATTTCACAGTCCAGTCGAATGAAGAGGTGACAAAGAGATGGGAAAAATCGATCTGCCCCACAGCCATATGACAATTGATACCAGTCACCGGACCCTGGTGACCTTCAAACATTTCGCCAATACCAGCCTTACTGGAAAACAACAATGACTTGTGCATTTATAAAGCTAGCATCTCAGAGCAATTCAGATTTGTAAATCTGTAGCCAAGTGTGGGTTTTTTTCAATTTAAATACTCATGCTCACTGGCAAATGGATATTATTTTAAACGACCCATAGTATTAATAGTTATCAGCTGCTGTAAACCCACACATTACATCTCCATTTGATTTAATGGCTTGAGTTGAAAAATCAACTCACGCCTCTAATATGGTATGTGCTCTATCAGAAGACAATATTATGATAAAAAAATTATCATCCCTTTACCACCAAAATTACATTTATATAGCGCCTTTCATAGCGGGAGGACGTCCCAAAGTGCTGGACAGACAGAGTTACGGACCAGACCTGAGAGTTGGGGTGGAGGAGGGGGGAAGGCAGGCGGGGGAAGCAGGGAGATCAAAAGCACGGTCAAAGAGGAGGGTCTTGAGGTGGCTCTTGAAGATGGCGAAGGAAGGGGTGAGATGGAGGGACTGCGGAATGGAGTTTCAGAGAGTGGTGCAAAGTGGCAGAAGGCTTGCCCACCAATTGTGGGGCGAACAAAGCAGGGTACGTGAAGCAGGGCGGAGCCCGCTGAGTGGAGGGACCGAACAAGATGATAGAGGGTTAGAAGGTTGCAGTGTTAGGGGGGAGCAAGACCATGGAGTGCTTTGAAGGTGAGGACCAGGATCTTGAACTGTATCCTCTGTGTGATGGGAAGCCAATGGAGTTGGGCGAGGATGGGGGTGATAGAGTCACGGAGAAAAAAAGAGATATGCTGCAAATGTACAGTGAGCGACATTGTTTCACACCCAACTGCTCAGATGAGGGTCACACCTAAAACATTAACTTAAATCTTTCTCTCTCAGTTGCAAATTAAATTGGACATTTTTACCATCTTGTTTTTATTTCAGATCATAGTGTACATAGTTTTCTATCATTAAATATAGTGTACTATTCTCAACACACATACACACAAAGACAGACAGGAATATTATGCCACATGCCCCTATACAAAGACATTGATTATTTGCAATATAGTTCTCATCAACTGAATAAATGTAGAGTTGTAGAAACACATGTGTAGAGGGGAGTACAGGTGCCCTTACTTATAGAACAAGTTCACAGTTTTATAGGACTTTATCACATTGAAGCACGAAAGACTTACACCTCAAACAGCGACTACTAGTTAAGAAGAGTGGCTGATTGTCATTCCCTAACACAAGGCAGCTATAGCCATTCTACACTTCTTCCCCATGCCCAAATGCCACCTAAGATCAGGTAACTCAGCACAGCTTCAAACTTGTAACCTTCAGCTAATGGTATTAGAGCAACACTAGTTGGCACCTTTACCGACTAGGCAATTAGAAGCAGCATCTGTATATTTTATTAACAACAAGGATTTTCTCCCACATTAACTTTGGTTTTATAATACGGAGGCAATCATCAGGAAGGCATAACCTCAGATTTCAATCCCAGTCTGGTTTTGGCTTGACAAAAGATGACAATCTACAAATTCAAGTTTTTCCCTTCTCTCAATTATAAGCAAAATCATAATTCTGAGATTGTGTGAGCTTCTCATTTCCATCTTTGCTCCCCATAGTGACAGATATCCCAAAGATGACACACTTCATTCAGAGCAATGTATAAGAACTTCAAACTGATCTCTTGGAATACATGTAAAAATGAATTCTCTAATAAAGAGAACTGAGATTACATTACAAAAGAAGTTAGATGAAGAAGGTCTTCATCCCATTTGATTTAATCCTTCCAGAATACCAGCCCTACCATTACAGCATTGGGCTGCTTTTAAACAAGTCCAGTACTTTAAGCCACAATCACCCTTTCTGTTAACCTATTCCAGCTGTTGATTAACTTCTGTTTTTACTTTCCCTTGCCTATTTTAATGGAATGATCCTTTATGTGAAGCCAAATGTTTCCTACCTGTGAGGTGCTAATATTGTAACATTCATTCAGTTACTCATTTAGTTGGTGATAGAAAAGATTGCCAGACTTAGTCACGGTGCCTGATAGTCAGCCCGTTAGCCAAGGCCAATATTGTAAGTGCATGTTTCCATTCTTTACACAGAGGGAGGTTGGAATGTGCAATTCAAACCATTCTTTAAGCAGAGTCCATAAATTCCTTTAAAGGGAAATAGATAGATACTTTAAAAAGAGGATTATTAAAGGTTAAGGGGAGAGAGCAAGATAGTGGGTTAAGATTCATGTGGAGAAAAACATCAGTGCAGACTTGATAGGTAAAATGGCTTGTTTCTACACTGTAACATTCTACGCAAGAAACGTTAAACAAATGTTAGCAAAATATTTGGATAACTAAGGGTTATGAAGAGAGGGTAACAAAACGTTTGGTTCTGTTACACTACCAGGTACCTTGCAAAGCTTCAGCTCTATTAGATAGTAAAAGATGAGGAATTAAAAAAAAGACTGAGGCAATCTCACTCTAAAAGATAAATATTGCCCAAAAAGCATTATTGTATGCAATAATGCAGTACATTACTGCCTTCATGCGCTTTGCAACCAGTTAAAATGTTAGTGATCCTGTCTATTTTCACTCAGCTTTTAAGAACACAATAGAGCTTGGAACAAGAAATAGTCATTGCAACATATTGAAGGAATACCCCAAGTCTGTTTGCAGTATGAACAAACAAGACTTACCTGTACTCAACAGAAGTCCACCAAGTCCCCCATTAAAGATAGAAGCCAGTTTGGTCGCAATATAGCCCTTTTGTAAAGCATGCTACACATGTGGATCAAATCTACAGAAGCAGCACCATCTGCTCTATCTCACCCAAATTACTTCCCTCAGCATGTCCAGTTGCCACTCCAGTGACTTGCAAACACATTCTATGTCATCAGTAATTGAGGTAAAACAGGACAGATATTGGTAGTCAATGGAAGTATAATCAACATACTACATAAAATGATGGAAATTGGAAATAAAAAATGCTGGAAATGCATAGCAGCTTGATCAGCCTATTGCAGAGAAATGTTGATCTCTCCAGCTCTGTGGTAAACCTTTCTACATTCAATGTGTAGATGGTACAGTGTAGAACTTTGTTTGGCTTGGATATTCTTAAGCATGGTAATATGGGTTTCTGCATGTATCACACACTTGACTGACCAAAACAAAGTTGATCAATCTTTCTCTTTCAAAGCACATCTGCAGATATAATACTTTGAAACCCTACATTGCAATTAACCTACATCTATGAGTCATCATAGAATTATACTGCACAGGAGGAGGCCATTTGGCCCATTGTATCTTTTAAAAGAGCTATCCAAATCAATCCCACTCCCCCGCTCTCTCCCCATAGGCCTGCAAACTTGTCCTCCCCAAATAATTATCGTATTTTAATTATCTTATGAGAAACTATTTTGAAACAGGAACAAAAAGTAGGCTATTCCATCCATTTAGCTTGTTTCCCCAACTTATTACTTCAGGTAGCTCTTTTATTCCCTTTTCCCTGCCTTTTTTCCACGTTTTTTAATAGACTCACTTCCCAAGTATCTGTATATCTCCCTGTTAACACCTCAATTGATTTTACATGTATCCAAATTCTCATAGGTGCTTGGGTGAAGAAACATTTTTGGGCCTGTAAATCCTGTTTGTTCACATTTCAAAAGGGGATTGTTAAACAACTCCTTTCTAAAATGTTATTCCTACTCACAGACCTCCACAGCTCCATCATCCACAAGCTCTAGCAGATTCAAAATTCAGCCATTTGCATCCTTTACATGCACAAAACTTGCCCACTTCTTGCCAGGCTGCACTGGCTTCCCATCTCCCAGGGTATTAGCTTCAAGATCCTCACTCTAAACTACAAATCTCTGTGTGTCCTCACCCATCCCTCCAGTCTTACATACATGCTTGTACACTCTGCTGGGCGAACTCAGGCCGCTCCGCCAATGGCAGCCGAGCTTTCACGCATTTAGTCCGAGCACTCTGGAACTTCCTCTCGAATTCTCTCCGTTCACTCCCCTCCATTTGTATTTCAAAACCTTCAGGAGACTTACCTCTAAGGTTACCTTGTTCCTCACCCTCCCTCCCTGCTTGATGGGCCTGGCCTGTCTCTGTAATGAACTTGAGATGTTACCCTACATGAAAGGCACTATATATTGTAAAAATATGGGGGGAATAAACACATTAAAATGGTTATAGAATTATAAATGAGATTTATTGTAAAATCTGGTGTATATCTAAAGTAGATCTTCACCACACATGTAGGATTACAATTAATAAAACAGTGACAACTTGCACTGTTTTCACAGAAAGGGCAATTGTAAAATATGGGCGCAATGTTTACTCCAGCTTCTACAAAACTGGAGAATTGTTGGTCAAGACACCGGGACAAGCTCTTTGCTCTTCAGTTAATGCTGTGAAATCTTTACTGTCCACCTGAACACGACCTTAGTTTTACCTCTTCGCCTGAAGACGGCACCTCTGACAACACAGACCCAATGGGAAGCTTGAACCTATGTCCTTCTGATCCAGAGGAAAGACCACTTCATTGTTTTTTGGATCCATTCAAAATAAACTCCACAATTCCTGGACGATTAACTCCAACACAGAGATTAATTAATGGATAGGAAATGCTTTCTAAATAATAGATTGCATATCAATGTACACTAGCAAATTCATACAATTAGAAACATTTTGGAAATGCCCTACAAGAAATTGTGACAAAGCAGTGCATTTGTTGTAAAACATACAGGGCAGTTCTCTTGCTGTTTGTCAACTTTTTTAAAAAAACTCTTGGATTCTTTCTTCTCTTGAATATTTTCAGATCTTAAGCAGCCAATTTCACAATAATAAATAATGTAACATTTGATATAGCTCCTTAATACGTTCGCCAAATGTCACAAAGCAGTTCACAGGATTTACTGTATTTTGGGTGACTGTACTTGGCAGAAAAAATGCGGTAACCAATGACCCACAAACAGTAATGATGGGAAAGACCAGTTTTATCTAGGGGACTGTTGGCCACAACGCTGAAAGAAAATCCCTTCTCTTCTCAAGTACTGCCATGGGATGTTTAACAGGCAACGCAACTCAGTTTAACACTGCACCTGAAGGACAGCACCTCCAACAAATGCAGAGCTTTGGAGTATTAGCCTAAGTCAGACTATGAGCTCAAAGTCCCAATAAGCAGACGAATGGAATAAAAATCATATCATGACCTTGGACGCCCCTTTTTTTAATTCACACAGACAACTCTAACACTCTGATATGTTGGGTGTTCAGATATGATATAGATAATGGAAATGACATAAACTGGAATTGACAAATCATATCCAACTGAGAAGCTGTTTCCTTAAACTATAAGTAGCAAATTTGTACAGAATCTTCAGACATTAAATTCCTTTTTAGTGGTCCTGTTACTTTTTCTCCAATTCTCATTACCTTGAAATATATGCCCCATAAAATACTAAATAGCTGTAAGAATTACCTGCCATGTCGACATGCAGTATAAACTATACCCTCTTCACTGCCAACAACAAAATTGTTGACATCTCCTGTTGGGAAGGCCATGCCTGTGACTGCCACAGCCTTCGACTTGTTGTAAACCAGCTCCATACTTTCCTAGTTTAAAACATAATAACAAATATACAGAGACATGTTAACATGAATCCTTAAGTTAACAGAAGACTTCCATTCTAAAGTAGTCCAACCAGTGTGTTTAATATATAATATATATATATATATATATATAGAGAGAGAGAGAGAGATAAGAGTGTGAAAGAACACAAAATGATCAATAGCTTCCAATTGGGAAACCTCTTGCGAAGAACTAGGCAAAAAATTTTGTTTTTCCAATCTATTATAAAACAATTAAAGAAAAATGATGATTACATGTCGGCTCTTTTATAGACAAGGAATGCCAAGCAATGTATGGTAAAAATAAATGTCATATCATTATATTTATGGTAATAATTACTCATTTGAAAGACTTCAAATATAATTTTGTTGATAACCATAAATCTATTCATCTAATGTATAAAAAGAAACTTAATTTACATTTATTTAGCGCCTTTCTTGTCTGGAGGATATCTTAAAAGCTTCTAGGTGTACATCTTCCTGTTCAGGTGGACGTTAAAGATCCCATGACACTATTCGAAAAGAAAAGGGAGTTTCTCCTTGTGTGTGCAAAATTGTGCTACCTGGTTTGCCTACAAATACACAATCACTCCATTTCACAGTAAATCCTGTGAAGTGCTGCGAGACATACTTCCGATGTAATAAGTCGCTATACCAAAATAATTATTAATTGTATTTACCTGCATACAAACAAGGGAAGTTCTACCAAAAAAACTCCTTCAAAGCATATTTCCTTTTTAAGTTTCAACGTGAACAACCATACAGAGGAACTGCTAAATACCGAGATATAACAACCTAACAACCCACTCTTTCCTTTGTGATTATTTGAATTAAAAATATCCCATACAAGATCTTTCCCATTTATCGCACACATTTCATATTTTTCTAAATTTCCCAGGACATATACAGTCCTACGCGAATCCTCAGATAATCAAAGCAGTTATTAGTCTATTAAACTTTGGAAAGTAATAACGAAAGCCTCTACAATTCCTTCTCATTTCTTTCAGTACCATAGGGTAGAAACCATCTGGGCCAGGAGATTTGTCTGACATAAGGCCCATTGATTTATCCATTAACTATCCTGCTTGGAGCTGAGGTAAGCAGAATCTCTTTGTAGCTGAACTGCAAGGCATTGCTGATGATAAACGAGCCAGCAAGGCTCAGCAGCTGGACTTATAAGGAACCATTATTGGGGTCAGGGATTCTTCCCACTAAGCTCCAGTTAACCCTGAAAGCCAAAGCCACAATGGATTGGAGGGTGGTCTTAGCTATACAAGGAGCAGGAACCTTGCTAAACAGTGCTTTCAATGGCAAGCTTTGTGGTTGTAGCTGGTTAAACTCCAGCTGTACCCCAACACACACTCTGGGGTCCCCAACCTTCACCTAATACTCAGGAATTAAGTAAGCAGATTGCGTCTCTCCATCAGTGTGTCTAATCCATCGAAATGCAGGAATTTTCCTTTTTTTTAATTTTCACTTGAAGGTGGCATATGTGGAACTCCCAGCGTGGTTTGGTGGTGGAAATCCACAAGTGTTAGGCACCCGCTGAGCAAAAAATATTCATCACTATTTTTCTGTTTAATATTAAGCCTTTTAAATTTCTCCCATTCCCCGAACCTCTGGTATTTTATTCTTTTCCACCGTAAAAACTGAAGCAAAATAGTCATTCAACAATTTTGCCAAGATCTTATCCTTGACTACTGTCACACCTGTATCGGCTTTAAATGGACCCACTTCTTCTTCTAACATCCAATCTCTCTTGAGATACTGTACTAATAAGATCCTTTGCCATTACTCTCAATACAATTTGCAAGTTTTGTTTTCATATTCCCTCTTCCATATTATTTTCTCTTATTATTGTCTCCTTCTGATGTTCTCTGTATTCCTCTAAATCTTCACTTTGTAATGTCCCTTGCCGTTTCATAGGCATTTTTCTTTCGCTTAATGCTGATGGAAACCAATTTATTTAACCATAGTTATTTCATACCAGAAGTACACCTCTTGACTTTCAGGGGCATAATCTGGTTTTGGTATAATAATAATCCTTGCATTTGATACAGCCCCATCCTTGCCCAGCTTCACTGGCTCCCCATCCCTCAAGGAATCAAGTTCAAAACCCTCGTTCTCACATTCAAAGCCCTCCATGGTCTTGCTGCCCCCTACTTCTGTGACCTCCTAACCCCGTATCAGCTTGTCCGCTCCCTCCGCTTAGCAGACACCAGCCTGCTTCAGGTTCCCCGCACTCTCTGCCCCACCATTGGGCGGTTGGGCATTCAGCATCTCTGCCCCCACACTCTGGAACTCTATCCCGCAATCACTCCGCCTCAATCCCTCTCTTGTCTCCATCAAGTCCCGTCTAAAGACCTTCCTCTTCAACGATGTCTTCGGCCACCCTCCCAACCCCACCCGCCCTGCCCTCCTCCCCTTCTGACCCCCAACTCGGGTCCAAAACACCTGATTGTCCAGCGCCCTGGGACAGCTTTCCGACTTGAAGGGCCCTATAGAAGTATAAATTTTGTTGTTCTTATCACGTTTTCGAGACGTCTCAAACCACTTCTGTAAAATTAATTGACTGCATTTTGTTGGTGAAACACGGCAGCGAATTACACACAGCAGTGTCCCACAAACAGCCATGGAGTGAGTGACCAAATTATTATTGGTCATTTTTAATTTTTCTTTTTTTGAAGGGATTATTATTCTCGAGAAAGCTATCCACCAATCGACTAACAACTGAGTTCCTACTGACTGCTAGGTAAACAGAGGCGTGTGGAGTAAGGAAACTTGCCTTGGGACGTCCTCCCGACGTGAAAGGCGCTCTATAAATGGAATCTTGTTGTTTTTGTTGCCTAATATTTTGCTCTACCCAGGAATCAAACCCAAACCCTCTCTCTTGCGAGCTGAGTGCTCTAACCACTAAGCTACAGGACTCCATGTATGTATAAATTACCCCCTTGAATATATTCTAGTCAGTTTGTCAGTTGATTTACAACAAATCCTGCCACCGTATTCTGGCTAATTCCTTCAAAGTTGGTCTTCTTAAATTCCAAAATTTTAAACTTGTGATCCTCCTTTCTCCCTTTAAAACCTGATACTAAATTCTATTACATAATAATAATAATCCTGGCATTTGATATAATAATAATAATCCTTGCATTTGATATAGCGCCGTATCACGTCTTCTAGAAGTCTCAAAGCGCTTCACAGAATATACTGTAAAGTGAATTGACTGTATATTTTGTGGGCGAAATGCGGCAGCCAATTGAGCACAGCAGTGTCCCACAAACAGTCGTAGATTGAGTGACCAATTTATTATTTTTTTTAAGGAATTATTGCCCCCAGGAAAAGCAATCCACCAATCGATTAATAACCGGGTTTCTACTTACTGCTAGGTAAATCTACATATGTGGAGTAAGGAAACTTGTCCAACATTTCGCCGTGCCAGGAATCAAACCCAAGTCACTCACTTGCAAGGCAAGTGCTCTAACCACTGAGCTAAAGGACTCCATTATGGTCACTTTTCACCTACAAGTATACAGTTGGTGTACTTTACAGTAAATCTTGTGAAGTAATTTGAGGTGTTCTAACAAGGTGATAAGGCACTATATCAAATGCAAGGATTATTTATTTTATTCCATAAATCCCATCCTAATCTGGCAAACATATCCTCAACCTCTCTAGCCTTCAAGCAGGGTTAACTGGATAGCAATCAAGAGCAGGAAATCTACTCATTTCCCTCTCCCCAAACCAGAGGTGCTATTCACATTTGTATAGCCTCTTATGGCACACTGACTGAAGCTATCACAGCACAGACTGAGGTTTGGTCACTCTTTGCATAGACTTGCGTAGACGTGGGAAAATTTTTATTAAAATGTGATCTAAGTTTTTTTCAATAATATTGTAACTGATTTTTCTAAATGATTGTAAGAGTTTTATGGATACTTTTTAATATCAAAACAGAAAGGCAATTATACACTAAATACCTAAAAAGATTTTATTTTACTGAACAAAAAGAACGTGCAAGGTCACCATCCTATTACTTAGGAATATTTTGCTACCAAAACAATTTATATCAAAATCAGACATAACATTGTGTTGTAGTGTGAGTGGTCTACCGTGAGTTTAAATGATAAATTCTAGTAGCAATAACTAGAAAATGTTGGAAGGCAGAACAATGCTGGAAACAAACAGCAGATCATCCAGCATTTGAATTTCAAAGGGGACCTTTTCTCAGAACTGGTACAGTTGCAAAAGATAGGATCGAGGAGGGTGAGAGAGCCAACCAAATAAACACAGATATTAGGAAGAAATGTCAATATAATGAATCACACAAACTATGTAAACAAAGAGAAGGCTTTTCATGTAACCACACCAACCAACAAGGAGCCCAATGCAAAGATACAACCTTCAAACTGCAATAAGATTAGCATGGTATTACTTTACCAAGATCAGCAAAATAATGATGTAAGATACTTGCAATGGTAAAGGTAAATGATCCCATCAGCTTTAATTGAAGAAAGTCTTTAGTAGGATTGTCAGAAAATATACACAATCAATGAATGGTGACTATGTTATGACATTTAAATGCTATAAAACCACATGTTTATCGATAAGAAACAGATGTATAAATAAAAGAAGAATTCTCTCTGTTCAGTCCTCTGCTCTGGCAATCCTGAATTTTGGCATCACAGCAACTTCCAGTTAATGTAACAGCAACTTTCCAGGAACTAAACACGTTCTGGAATATACAAGCTTTAAAAACAGAAAGTTCACTCAGGTTATGTGACTTTTTTGAAAATATATTTTCACTGATTTTCTCCCCTTCCCCGTTGAAACTTAATTGACTTTTTCCTTCTACTGGGAGAAACGTATCACAAGTGCCACTCCCCCCACCCGAGTAGCCATTATTCACGTGTGAGCCTTGATGGGCAATTCAACTGCAGGGGGCATCACAGCAAAGCCTGCTCCTGTCCTCACCTGATATCCACACACATTTTGAATGCTTAATGGGAAAATTCTGCACACCACCTACGGGCTGCTTCTCAATCACTGCTGAAGTAATTGCTCATGTTATATGCCCGCTTTCCTCAAGGCATTTTCAACTCTATTTTACTTTCTACACTGGTCTGGTTCCATGAGTGTTGGGTGCCCTCTGGCACGTCACCCAAATCGCCATAATTCACATGCGAGGTTTGACAGGATGTGTTGGCAGGCAATTCAACAGCTGGGGGTCAGGAAGAGGGGGATTGGTATTACAGTGCAGCCCAATCCTGTCCCACGTGACTTTCACAAATGAACAACTCCCAGCAGGGTTCCCTGGATAGCAATCAGGATTAGGAAATCTGGCTGAAAGCCACTCTCCTGCTAACCACACTCCAGCATGATCCAAACGTCAGCATTGAGAACAGAGCTATCACAGGGAGGAGAGGAAAAGGAGAGGGGAGCTGCTTCTGGCAAAACCAGATATAATCAAAATTGATACATTACTAATAACTATGTTTAAAGCACATATTAAATCTCAATATAATTACCCCAAATTACAACTAACATGCGTGTCACTTCCCTTTGTCGTGATTTTCTGTACCACTGTTCTACCCCTCGACATTCCGTCAGAATGGATTTTTTTATATAAAAAAAACTTGGAAAAAGTTAACTTTACAAAAATAATTTCTGCAGGTCTTGATTCTTGAGCCATCAAGAAAATAAATGGCACAGCAGCACAGTTGAAAATCAAAGTAAACAAAATGTTTACAAATGTTAAAACACAGCTTTCAAATTAATTGATTTACAGTTTAGTATATTTGTCCTTTTTAATCAAATATTACATAATATGGACACTTCAATTTTATAACTAGCATAAGAGTGGACAGGGATTTTAGGGTCTTTATTATTTTCCTTTCTCAATACTGTATTTTTCTCCTTTTTTTTGTCTCTTTGCACAATATATGCCAGCAAAGGATGGGAAACGATTTGCTTAATTCCTAATAATAATAATCCTTGCATTTGATCGTGTATTTCACATGGGAGAAATATCAAAACACTTCACAGGAGTTATGGAAAGTGGACTATTTTTCAGTAGTCTATTTGTGCACTGTAATGTCCCACAAACAGTCAAGAAGTGATTTTATCTGGGAGATTGATGGCCAGGACATCAGGAGAAACTCCCTTCTCTTTCAAGTAGTGCCATGGGATCTTTAATGTTCACACGGACAGGCATCATGACTTTCACAAGATCGGATGAAGAAGACACTTTGGCCCTGGACAGACAGGGCCTTGGACGGTGATACATGGCGTTTTCATGTACCAGTGGCAAGATCCGAGACTGTACTAGTGACAAGATTCGAGACTGTTGTGTCATGTGGGGGAAATTACAGATCCTTCTGCCACACCATTTTGCTGCAAATTGTTGCTCTTCTGAAGTCAAAGTCAGGCAGAGGCTTTGCTCTAGATCTTACCATGTTACCCTGACGCTGGAATAGTTGCTGCTAGCAGTAGATACTCAGAATGGAAAATCGTGTTTTTCCTAACTCAAATAATGAACACAAAAATAATCACTAAAGATATACATAGTATGTAAAAACATTCACAGCAGTTTATTTTTGAATCTCTCTCCCACCTCCAACCCCCCCAATGAGAGACCAGAGTAATTGGTACTAAAGTTCATTTTGAGCCAAGGAAACAATCCAAAAATCAACTTACTTGTGGTTGAGTCAGCATATCCAGGCTCCAGGAACACATCTTTCCATCAGTGGAAACAGTGATTAGATTGTGAGCATTTTGAGTTCCAACAACGTTCACACAGTACACAGGATGCTGTAAGAAAGGCAACAATTCCAATGAGGTAGTTGTAATTGGCCATAAGCTCAACCTTAACCCTTACATGCTACAGACGAGACTATAAATTTGAAGGAGCTGGGTGTGGAGAAAGAGGCGTACTTCTCAGGCAGCTGAAAATGAGTTGTATCGTGGATAAAGATCGAGTAATTTCAGCAATTCACATTAGGTATTCGCTAAGCTATTCGACTGTGGGGCATCACAGTCAAGCTCAACGCTGCCCTTAATCCATTTCAACACACATTATCCAGCAGCAGACAATAGATAGCAATGAGGAGTGGAAATCTAGGATGGGATCCTGCGTTAGAATTGGACTGTGTAGTGTTCTAAGCACTGTTCCAGCCTAGGTAAAGTAACTCAGCACAGACTGGGATCCAATAAAGCACTTTCCTAGTTTTCATGCTTCATTTGGCTGTGACTGTACCAACTCTACAAGGCTTAATGGCCTATTTTATTAATGCTTCTTTTTCTACTGCTGAAGTAATTTGACATCACTTCCAGCAAAATGGCAACTTGAAACAGGAAAGCAGCCTTTTCTTACCTCCTGATCTCCCCATTTTGCTCTAAACACTGAGAGGTCTCCTACCAGTCATAGGCACTGAACAACAATGCTTTACATTTATTAAAGAGCCAGATATGCAAACTCCTAAACTTATTTTTCATGTAAAAGTTAATTGGAATTATTTGGAGTCTAATCAGATTTATATTGCAACAAACTGCATCAATCCCACAATGGCTCAGAATCATATTTATGCCCCTAAAACTTGATTGATGCTGCACTGTGTGTCGTAACATGAAAAGTGCTGAGGAAGTGAAGATAAGAGAATTAAAATGGTGTTTCCTCATAGGGAGTCCTGCATCTTATAAATCTTTCAAACAGCTAAGCTTATTAGCACATTTTTAATTCTTACAGTAAATAGATGCTCATGGGTTGTAGCTTTACACCCTGTGAATTATACCAGTTTTGAGCTTCAACTATGGCTATGAGAAGCTTCTCAACATCCTGTGAAACAGGTATTTTAGAGCACTCATAAGCACACAGATAAACCTATTCTTTAATTTGCAGGATACGTACATATTTAGCTGCTAATTGAAATGAGGAGGGGGACATGAGGTAAGACAACACCAACAATTTAAACAAAAGGCAAATTACTGTAGATGCTGGAAATCTGAAATAAAAACAGATGTTGCTGGGAACACTCGGCAGGTCAGGCAGCAACTATGAAGAAAGGAAAGTGAGTTAACATTTCAGGTTGATGACCTTTCGTCAGAACTCTGACAAAATGTCATCGAGTTCAGCAAAACATTATTCATTCAGCAAAACCCAGTACAGTATTAACAATAATGCTGTCATTGAGTTCTGACGAAAGGTCATTGACCTGAAATGTTAACTCACTTTCCTCTCTCCTTGGATTCTGTCTGACCTGCTGAGTGTTCCTAGCAACTTCTGTTTTTATTTCCAACAATTTAATCATTACATTAATGTAAAACAATATTTTACTTACAGTGTGAGCAGCAGCAGAGAGAGGGGTTCGCTGAACTGGGGTCCGTCTGTGGCTGCGGTTGTCCCAAAGAGCAATCTGTCCAGAATATGTACCACCAACTACCAAATTGGGGTGAAATCGGGCAAAGCACACCGACATTACAGGAGACTGTATATAAGTAAAGTGGTTAAAAAAAATTAGTTCCATTTTCTTCCTCATTTAAATGAGCGTATCATTCATTCAGCAAAACTCAATACAATATTATTAATAATAAAATTATTTCTGCATTTGATATAGCGCCTTTCACGTCAGGACGTCTCAAAACAGTTCACAGGATTTGTGTAAGATGTACATCAAGTGTGAATTTTATAGGTGAATGTTCCAATGCACCCTTAATAAAAGCATAGGGTTCACTCTTTTGTATTAGATGTGATCATAGTTCCATATTCTATAATTAAGATCATTTTATAAATAATACTTTGTAAACAAATAACATGGCACAAAACTATTTTACTGGAATCTTTCCTTGGTTATTAGGAAGATTATTAGCAATACCTCAACATTTCAGATACTAAGAAAGCTGAGTAGGGTTTAGAGTCGACTCTGGGTACACTTTATTCCCAAGTGGCAATATTCCAACTATTTTGCTTTCTTTTAACAGAACCCAAAATGCATATATACTTTCCAATGCTGCTGTCAAAAGGAAAAGAAACATGACAGATTTCATATATTATTCATTTTAAATATTTCCACTGTGGTTATTACATTTTCAGCTATTGGCAACATCTAATATTAACATTTATAACATGAATTGACAAAAGCGATGAGCTCAACAAATTTGCAAAAAGACACAAACATAGTTAGAGCAGTAGATATGAAGTAGGCAGCAAAAGAGTTACAAAAGGATTTGGATAAATTATGCAACTGGGTGGGCAAATGGACTGTAGCACTGATAATTGTAAGTACAATATTGCACACTGATTAAAAGACTCAGTGCAAGTTTTTACTGAAGTCTTTACGTGAGGTCCATACAAATACCCACTCACTTCCAGTGAAGCATTTAAAAAATAAAGGTTTGAATTGGGAGCAGAAGATCTAACAAAGGGATCTCAGTGCTGGTCCATCATCACTGCCACCACGGTGACATACAACAGAGGTCTGTGCTGAAGCCTCTGATATTTTCCGTATAAATGATTCAGACAAGAGTGAAATGAGTAAATTTCTTGAAGGTACCAAATTAGGGATACGGTAAACCAACGAGGGATAGTGCAGAATACAGGAAGACATGTTTGCCGAGTGCACAGATGAATGGCAAATAAAATTCAGTGCAGAGAAATATGAAGCAGCTCAATTTGGGAACAATAACATAAAAGGGGCTGCCAAGGCCCTATAGGCAATGCAGAGATCATACGTTTGATTTGAATGAAAAAAAGCTCTTCAGCCCATCCAATCTCATCCTTCCAGAACACCCACCCTACAATCTCCCCTCCCCATCACAGAATCAAGCTGCCTTTTAAATGAGTCCAGTACCTGGCCTCTACCTCATTTTGTAGTGGTTAGTGCGCTTGCCTCACAAGCGAGATAACCCGGGTTCAATTCTCGGGCAGGGTGAAACATTTGGCAAGTTTCCTTACTCCTCATGCTTCAGTTTTCTAATTGATTGTCGGATTGCTTTTCCAGGGGTAACAATCCCTTCAAAAAATATCTAATTCTGTCAGTCAATCCACGACGATTTGCTGTGTGCAAATTGGCTGCCGCATTTTGCTCACAGAATATACAGCCAATTCACTTTGTTGTATATTCTGTGAAGCGCTTTGAGACATATCGAAGACGGAACAAGGCGCTATATCAAATGCAAGAATTATTATTATAACTGATCGAGTCATTGATTATCCTCTGAGTAAAGAAAAACTTTCTTGTATCCTGAAACTGCCCCTTCAGCTCCAAACCTATGTCCTCTTGTTTTACTATCTTGTCTCATTCTAAAGTACAGATCTGGGTTTATTTTTTCAATCTCATTTCATGCATTCTATTTTCAAATACTAGATGGATGTAAAACCCAAATTATTTAAAGAGTATAGGGGAACTGTGCACAAATTGGCGGCTGCATTCAGCTACAACAAATAGTCACTGCACTTTACGGTAAATCCTGTGAAGCACTTAGAAACCTTTGAGAAAGGTGCTGCTATATCAAATGCAACGATGGGTGGGTGTTCTGGAACGTTCAGATGAAATCTGCCAAAGGACCTTTTTCCATCGAAACCTCTCGTGATCTTGGGTGAACGGAAATTCTTAAGGGGAAAGAAGGGTTTCTGCTGGAATAACTACTATCTGTTTACTGATTCACATGGTACTGTATCTGAAATTTACACACAGTGTGCATTATATGCTTTTGTAAATACATAGCCACCACCGCTTGCTGGGTTGTATGAAGGCAGACCACACCACGAGAAAATAATAGGGGAGATTAGGCAGGATAATGAGAGTCTGAAAATAACCGCACACAGAATAACAGAGGGAAAAAGATCCTACAATGTATCAGTGAGGAGGTCTGGCTACTGCACAATATTCTGACAGAATAGAAGGCTTTTTATTAAAGAAGAAATAGCAAGTATCAAAGTCCCATTTACCCTCTTATTTTATGTATGGTATACTCATACCCTGCCTAATCCAGCACCCCCGCACCCCCTCACCGGGATTTTTTTTTGGTGTCAGCCTGGCCGAATAGGCTTTTCTACAGACTTGAATTCACAGTCTAGGCTAACAGTCCAGTGCTAGGGGTACAATGCATTGTTGGAGGTGCCGTCCTTTGAATGAGATGTTAAACTGAGGTCATATCTGCCTGTTCACGTTAAAGATCCCTTGGCACTACTCGAAAAGAGAAAGGAGTTTCTCTTAATGTCCTGGCCAATAAAAATCCCCCAAATACAATTAATTATTCATTTCGTGGCTGTTTGTAGCACATTTCTATGCACATCTTGCTGCCCATGTGCACCTACAAAATACAGTCACTACACATTACAGTAAAACCGTGAAGTGTTCCTAGGCATCCTTCCAACATGAAAGGTGCTAAATGTTAAGACATTTACTCTGTAGTTTTGTCAATCAGCCTCTGGGAGTGTTCTCCACAAATGGCCTCACTCACTTCCAGTCACTGACTTGCATGACCTGCTCAATGTCTGAAGAACCTTACAGGTCAACTTCAACCGTGTGGAGAGGCTAACAAATAAGAATTAAAATCAGCTCCAAGACAAACCATAGGAATTTACAGCATAGAGGATGACCATTCACCCATCTAGTCTATGCTGGTTCTTTTAAGAGCTAGTTTACTCCAGTCATGAATTTTCTTTACACTGTGACCTCTTTTTGCAAGTGTACATGGGCTGTGCATTTCTTGCTATAGCTTCTCTGCCTCCAGCTCTTTACTAGAAACATCAAATCATCAATACTCTATGATCCTATTAATGGCATCACAAGTTTATAACACTTTTTCAAATATGTGTTTTGATTTTTCCATCTCCATGAACTGGCACCATATTTTAAGCATGCACTGAAAGTGTTATTTTTAAAGCATCATTTAAAAAAAAGGACTTCTTGATTTTTACACGAAGACTTTATGGGGGAAGAGGAAGGAAAAATAATCAAAATAACACCTTTGAGAAATTGGATCTTCAGTTTGCCACTCAGTCATTCAAACTTATTTAATTTAGTAGATAATAGCAGATATTGTCATTCCATTTTCACATCTTTTCTTCAAATCTCTTCAAACCCTTTCTTCCCCAGTACTTAGCTGTCTTGCCTTTAAACATCCCAAACGATTCTGGGATGATGCATTTTACATTTTCACAAAAGCTTTTTGCTTGAAAAAATATTTTAAAATAGACATTCAATGCAGCTTAAGCACCTCCATAATATGTATTTATGTGGGAAAGAAAAGATGACCACCCACACTGGTGGGCAAATACACTCGGATGGTTGGGTCAGGAAGTGGTTGCACCACAATTCTCCATTCAAACGGCATGTTCCTAGATCGTCCTCTTTAAAGAACGGTTAATATAACAGAAACGGACAGCATTGCTGTGTATTTATCATTGACACTTGGTCATTAAATAGAAAGCAAAATCTTACCTGGCAATGAAATATGTATTCTGGAGTGTTTTTCTTAAACTTCATATTCCAAACAAGAGCCACCCCATCCGGCTCATGTGGGGCATCTTCATTGTTGCTATAGGAAGCAACCAACAGCTCGGGATACTGAAACAAAACAAACACTATTGTTCACTGTTATCCTAAGGCCTCAATGCCTTAGCATCTGCTCCTTGTGGGCATAGATTTTAGATCATTACCAAAACAAAGGGAGAGATTGAGGGAATTGCATTTATATACAGTTGTTTGGATGTGGAATGCTGCACCTGGAACCACTGTTGAGGCAGAATCCATATTTGCTTTTAAGAAGTAATTAGATAAATACATGAAACAACAATGTACATTTAAGTAGCATCATTACCACCAAGAGGATGTCTCACAGCACTTCACACAGCTGACTGGGAGTCTGAGTTTTGGGGAGAACATGAGAAAGATGGGAAAGCTGACTTAACGCATGATCAAAAAGATAGGTCTTAAGGTGGGCTTTAAAGGGGGAGTGATGGGCGAGGCAAAGGGACTGTGGGATGGCTCTAGAGAGAGGCTGTGACGTAGCTGAATGATATGGAGGCTTAGATAGGGGCCATTAAAATAGTTTGCTGAGCAGGTGGAGCAGTTAAAGCAGTAGGTTGCAGAGGTAGGGTTTGAACACGAGGCTACTGAGATAAATGATCTCCTGACATGGTGTAAATTGCTGTGCCTCAGCATAAAAATAATTAAACCATGGAACCTGTTTGGATATTACAAAGCTCAGTGTGCAGTGAAGGAATTCCACTCGCTAACATACTTACCATGTGACTGAATGGCACAGCATCCATTACAACAAAATTACTACCTACTTAAAGAGAGAAAGGCTGACTCTAAACCATTCACTGCTTGAACCCATATAAAGCGGTGGAAAATGGCTCACAGTTGAATGAAAACCAATGTCTCCAGTCACAAAGCACTTAATCTCCATCTGTGCATGGACTCACTCAGTTATAACTTTTCAAACTAAAAAAATTTCATGCATCCTAGTTCAGTCAAGCAGCACCAGGAGCACAGCTTTTTTTTAAATATGCAACCGGACTCTGATCAGGTTAACAACGTGAGGAAACCAACACTAACTGAAGCAACGTCTTAAGACCAGTCATTTTTTAGATGAACCTTATACTCAAAGTGAGGAATGCTCATGTATAGAATTGAACATCTTATTTTGTATCAGCGTTATGCAATCCCATATATGGTATCAGACGCAAAGCTTCCACTACTGTGCAGTATTTCAGCTCCGTCCTCACAAGAGCACCCCTTATTACAGTGTTTGTTATATTTCCTTCATCAGCCATCCATCCCATCTCCTCCTCGATTGAGGTTGCCCATTTAGCACCAAATTTAGGGCCTTTTTTTTTGCTAGGAGACGATGAGTACTCCATTTATGACTTGCCAAACGCATTTAAGTTACGGTCCTTTACAGCTGTCCAGGTAGAGGAGACTTTCATCAATAAAGCAATGATTTTGTTAGTATCTGGCTTGTCTGAAGGGATTTTTTGATGTTCTGAAATAAATCCAGTTTTTCACCCAAATTATCTTTTTTGTGTTAGAAGTTTCCTCCCCATCTCAACTTCTGCTCGCTTTGGAATCCTTGCAATTCCTATCTGATATTTTAGTTATTTCTAAGTGTAAGTTGCATGTTTTGGGGGATTTTTGGGGGATCAGCTGGATTTCTGACATAGGTGGAAACGATTAACCATGCTTGAGTATACAAACCATGCTTGAGTATACAAACCAAACCAAACAGAACTCCACAAAGTGCCACCTACACATGGAAATTTCCCGATGTCTGGAATGGAATGCGCACTCTCTCCTTGGAGGTACGCAACCTGCTAACTAATTGCGGAAAATATTAGGTGCAAGTTGGTGAGAGCCAAGGTTTGGGAATCCCAGAATTTGCATTAGACCACAATGATTCAACGAAAAATTAAATAGTTGCTACTCTGTTTTCTTACTGAGTTAGTAGCAACTTGAAATAGAAAATCGTGCATTGATTCACCGCACTCAATGCGCACCAATCATTCATTACCTCACAAGGAAGCTTAGAGGTAAATTATATTCTTATTGGATTAATGTGTTTTTTAAGAATTGTATATCACGCAGTCAAAACATTAGAGAAATTTAATACTTCTATTTTAAAGTGTGAATAATCACGCACTCACATAAGAATAAAATGAGCGCATTATACCTCAAGTATTCATTTTAAGTCAGGTCACACAGACAAAACATTGCTTCTCAAAGTAATGTCAATCCTGACTGCTTATATTACTGAAAGTAATAAGAGCTTTACCTAGCAATGTACCATCCACTAATTGATATAATTTTTTTTAAGTTGATCGGTTGAAGCACCAGGTTTTTCCGCATCGTGCCACAAATATCAACCACATTTCTGAGAATCAGGTTACATCAAGTTTCCACTACCTCATTCAATATGGCACTATAATGCCATAGTGATGTCGCTTTCTACTGCTTTAATCCATTAAACACGAGTGCAATAAACACACTTTAAACTTCCCGGGATCAGGAAGTGCGTTGCAAAGACTGCAAAGTAGCACTGCAAACAAAGACAAGTCAGAGTTCCTTCTGGAGCTATGAATACTGCACATTTATTTTGTAAATGCTGAAAAATTACTCATACAAAAGTAAATTTGACCTAAAAATGATCACATCTTAAAGGTTCCTCAATGGAATTGTATAATTGTTTATTGAAGGAAACCAAGAAGCAGATGCACTCTGGTGAAAGCTCAATCCGGGAAGCCTTCTAGAGTGCATCTGTTTCCCAACATGACTGTCAGTGCATTTGCTCTGTTGATTGATATTGTGCAGTTTTTTATGCAGACATAAAATTGGACTCTGCTAAAGTTTTGTTACAGCAAGGCTTCATGGTTTTGCTTTACGAGCCATTTTAAAAGCACAAAAAGTGTTTACAAAGTAAACTGTTTCCCATTTACTGTAGATGCTGGTAAATATTCTGCAGTTTATTGTATCTTCACATTAACAATTCTTGGCTAGAAAAGTTAGAATAGTCAAAGTCAAAATAAATACAGCAACGCCTCCAAATTCCAAGCTTCCAAATGTGAAATTAAGTGTTTTCCAAGCAAAACACTTAATGGAGGAAAGAACATCTAAAATGTTAGTTTGTACCTTCATGACCAAGATTGTTCAAAACCAGCTGAAAATAAGATAATAGAGAAATTATGCCATTTGCCTTGGGTTTATTAGCCCAAATCAGAAATTAAGTTAACTTTTCAAACTAGATACAGTATACTTTTACAACTGAGGTCTGAAACCTCTCATGCTCTTAGCCTTTAAATGAGACCATTGTCTGAAAATTCAAGGACATTTCGTCAATTTGGTCTCAGTTTCTAAGCCTGTCTTCCACAAAAGTAAGGAAAAACAGTTTCCAAATTCAGACTGAATTTTAGATTTTCCAAAATGGTGTTAAGACTAAGCCAATGAGAGATTCAGTCTCTGGTGTTTAGGGATATTTAGGAAATTACAGCTTCTTCCATCAGATAAAATGTTTTAAGAAATTCAGTATTACCTGAAGGGACCAGTCCAAGCAGGTCACCACACGATGTTTTGACCAATGCTCGTCATAAAACTGACGGTTGAAAGAAAGATTTACTCCAGCTTGGAAATCTCTGAATAAGATAAAATAAAGAATGTGTGCATTTAGATTACATTGACAGAAAGCACATCTTTTGTTATGTTCAATGTTTATTAAATTCCCAACTACCAAAATCTCTGGCTGTGTGCTATTCTTCCATTGGTACTGACAGCCCCTATAATATCTTACTCAAGTACCCACAGGATAGTGAGAGTAGATAAGTTATTCAAATGTAAAGGCACTAAATCCAACCTTTCCCAAACTATCTCAACGGTCATATATAGGCCACTGAATACCATTTAGGATCATATAACCAGACTGATTTTACTCTCCCCCCCCCACCACCGACTCCAGCTCATCCAAGGTCATGTCTAATATATGCCAATGTGCAAACCATGTATATAAAAGCATGCTTCCACACTGAATTACAGAGCCCTTATGTAGCAACCAAACTTTAGAACTGGTTCCTAATTGTATAATTAATGCATCCTTTTCATTGAGTATCAATCACACATTTAAGGAAACCTGTAATTTCTGTGTAAGCGTGCATGTACACATTGTTTACGCACGACGACACATAGCACAACTGCATTTATAATAATACTTGCATTTGATATAGCGCCTTATCACGTCTCAAAGCGTTCACAGAATATACTGTAAAGTGAATTGACTGTTTATTTTGTGGGCAAAATGCAGCAGCCAATTGCACACAACAGTACCCCACAAACTGTGGATTGAAGTGACCAATTTTTTTTTGAAGGAATTATTATCCCTGGAAAAGATTCCACCTATCGACTAACAACAGGGTTTCTACTTACTACTAAGTAAACAGAGGCGTATGGAGTAAGGAAACTTGCCCAACATTTCGCCCTGCCGGGAATTGAACCCAGATCTCTCGCTTGTGAGGCGAGTACTCTAACTACTGGGCTACATTATGAGGGATTGATTTGTGTCAGTAAAAATCAACTAATATAACAATAATCCTTGCATTTGATATAGCACTTTTCACGTCTTCAAGACGTCTCAAAGCGCTTCACAGAATATACTGTAAAGCGAATTGACTTTATATTTTGTGGACTATATAATGTTACATGAATGAGTAGTCTTTTTAGTGGGCATGGCTTAGTGGGCAAAGCTTCACTATTTACACATACATGGAATAAATTTACTTTCAATAACATTATTATTCATTTGGGTAGAATGAGCTTTTTATGCATTATGAGGAGCTGATCTAATTGAGACACAGTCTATATAAAAGATCTCAAATGCTATATCCATAGCTTCAGGTTTGCTGCCTCTCTTGAAATTCTCTAAAAGTAGTATCCGCTGAACCACAGTTGTCGCACAAACAAAGAGTATTAATAGCTTCAGCAATGGAGTTGGTCTGAACTGAGAATCTGCCCTTTGCTGAATCAGTACACATTGCTCTATATTACTCTACATATCCATATTGCTCTATATATCCATATATAATTTGGTGAGCGAGGTTAGGCCCCACTTACCTGCTTTAAGCCAAATTAGACTGAAATGCGTTCTTCAAGGGAACGAAGGTTGACCTCGCAGACAACCCTTTCATCCTCAAACTCTCTCGGCCACAAATCGTTGAAGGACGATGTCCACATCGTCAGCTCAGATGACCAGATCATCTCTCCAGCCTGAGCCTTGTGACCAAGTGCTCAACGAGCTCTGAGTTCCAGTATCTCTGCTTCCTCTTTGTGAGGGCAGATCTCACTTCTCAGATTGGAAATACTACAATATCGATCCCAGTCAACATCAGGCCATAGGCATAGCTCCTGCCAGGAGCAACTCCCTTCCATAATTAATTATGGGGAGATTCAGTCATGGAATTGTAAACACAAGCGACTGTCAAAGGGAAATCTTTCTGGCAGGCGCGTATCCCAAGGAGTAACTGATAAAAACAGATACTTCACTTGATCTTAATCAAAAGGCCGAGAACTTCTGCCATTTGTGAAAAGTCTGAACAAGGGAACAGAAGAACAAACCCTTGTGAAACTCCATGAATCACTCTCACCAGAGCTTTCCCAACTCTCTAATTTGCCATTAATTTCAGGAGTTTTGACCTTCTTTAGAAATCTCACATATGCAGTTTACACATAGGGAGTTGCCCTCACTACTTCAGGCCCATCTCCAAAGCACAAACTCAACTAGTACAGTTTGTAGATTGATCCCCAGCAGATTACACATTCAAACTGAGGAAACATACCCTTCTTTTTCATCCAGCTGCTTGCCGCCATAGTCAAAAAAGAGGCCAGAATCTTCAGCAAGAGCACGCTCTATGAGACGTATGTTATGGTCAAAGAAGATTAGAAATTCCTCTGAATGAAGAATTTGCTGCTTTTCCTCTTCAGAGAGTTCACGAGGAGGAGCTTTAGGGAAGAAAAAAAGCAGAAAGTCTACAGATCAGTATTTAGGAGGTTATTTATACAAGGTCCAGTATGCAGGTTATTATTATACAGCAGGGATTCAATGACTAATCAGTTAATAATAAATTGTATTTTGTTTTATATAATTTTTGTTGTATAAAGCAAAACAGACCACAGTTTTTCGGTAGAATGACTCCCAATCCTTAAACTTAATCCTTAAAGCCCTGAGAACATAGAACTACGATCGGAAAGATCTGCATTAATACAAAAACATAGAATTAGCTGCCAATAATAAACGGCACACATTGCTGTATAAAACTGAAAAGATGGTAATGACCACACAGCAGTGTAATAAGTGCATATACAGAAGGCGATGGGATGGTCTGAATGATTTTATAGGAAATACCAGCTACATTCCAACATTGCAGTTTTTCTCTGGATTTTGTTCAAAAACAGACTATAGTCCTGAACAGCACTATTGTCTATCAGTGAGTGCCCCAATACATTTTGTATTTAGGTAGATTATGGGACTACAATCAGCTAAAATCATACTCTTATGTAAGTGAAACCTTCAATTTAGATTCTTTCTTATATAGTTTAAAAACACATCCAGACAAGCCTGTGTAATCTTACTTTTTGTGCCGGCACTTTTATATGAACAAAATACAAGATCACAAGAGAGATTTGGATAGAAAAGGATCTTTGGAACATTTGATTTCATCCTTCTAGAATAGAACCCTGTTTTCCCATTGCAACTACAATCTGTGCCCTAAAGTCCACTGTCCTGGCTTCAACCTGAAAATATATTCCAGCTGTTGGTTATCCTCTATGTAAAGAAATACTTCCTGGAGTCTATGCGAGACCCATCCCTGCTCTCAAACTACCGCCCCATCTCCAACCTCCCTTTCCAAGGTCCTGGAACGAGTCGTTGCTTCCCAGCTTCGCTCCTTCCTCTCCCGCCACTCTCTTCACGAACCTCTCCAATTGCGCTTTCGTTCCACCTTCCTTGGCCCTCTCTTCTTCAACATGTACCTGCTCCTGCTTGGTAACATCATCTATAGACACAGGGTCAACTTCTACATGTATGCGGATGACACCCAACTGTACCTCTCTGCCTCCACCCTCAATTCCAGGACCACTGCTGTCTTGACAGAAAGTCCTGGAGTCCTGGACAAGAGCTAACTTTCTACAGTTGAACGTCAACAAGACGGATGCTATCCTAATTGGCTCCTGTCAGCGCCTCTGCACCTCAGATACTGACCGTCACCTTCCATGATGCACTCCACCTCTTTGAACTAGTCCGGAACCTTGGTATGTTGTTGATCCTCAACTATCCTTTCTACCCCATATCTGCGCCATGACCCACTCTGCCTTCCCCCACCTCTGCAACATTGCCCGGTTCCACCACTGTCTCACACCGCAGGCCGTCGAGACCCTCATACACACATTCATAACATCCAGGATCGACTATGCAAACTCCCTGCTTGTCGGCCTCCCCAACTCCTCCCTCCACAGGCTGCAGATCATCCAGAACTCTGCAGCTCGTGTCTTCTCCCGCCAGCCTCGCCCGACTCCACTGGCTTCCCATCACACAGAGGATACAGTTCAAGAGCCTGGTCCCCACCTTCAAAGCCCGCCGTGGCATTGCTCCCCCCTACCCCTGCGACCTCCTAACCCCCTAACAACTGGCCCGCTCCCTCACTCAGCGACACTTTATGTCCCCCACCTCACCCACCCCACCATTGGCAGGCAGGCCTTCTGCCACTTTGCCCCACAAGTATTGTTCTTGGTTTACTTTCTCAATCATATTAACCACCTAAGCGCTCTGGAATCTACCCTGCATGAAGGGTGCTATATAAATGCAAGTTATTGTTTTATATACTTCTAAAAATGTCCCTTCTGACATGTTTCCATTGAAGAATGGAAAGACCCATCTTTCTAGTCATTCCTCATACAGTGGTTGGTAGACTCCTTTGCACTGCCAATATGCAGATTGGACATTGGTTTAATGTTTCATTAAAGGATGGTTCCTGTGACAATGGAGCAAACCAATAGCACCTTATTGGAACGTCAGTCTGGACTTATTTCAAGGTCTCAATGTGGGACTTCAACTCACAACCATTTGACTCAGAGGCAAGAGAACTGAGCCAAGCTGAATGACAATTCCAGCTAGGTAAACAGTCTGCAATTCATCTCAATTTGCCCTTTATTTCCTTTCATAAGAAGACAATGGGCACAGGTCTTTTTTTTGCAAGATAGCCAATGGTTCACTATGCTATACTTTTCTGAAGAACCCACTCAAACTAAAATGGGATACTACGTAGGAGCATAAACTGATACATCTAAAATGGATATGAACCTTAACTGTTCAGGAAAAAAATCAGGATTCAGAAATCCTGCACACTGCAAGTGCTCTTTGTAAAATTCTTCACCACCACTACCCCTTCCTCTGTGCTTTCTGTGTAATTTTCCATCTTTTTTTCCTTCAGTAACTAGTACTCAGCATACACTTTGATCTCAGTTTCATGACTCTCCCTTCTTTCTTCTAGAAAGAAGCCAACAGAAGCACAAATGGCTGATCAAAGTCTTCTGAGGAACACGGGGGGAAAAGGCAGACTACCATGTTCCTACAAAATCAGCCTCTGACAAAGCAGCAGTTTTCTTGGAAACAGATATTCACTCCACAGCAGAACACAGTGATTATCTCCCTGTCTTTGAAGTTCAACGGAGGCCCTCCGATTCGCTGAACCGCTTATGTTCAGCAAAAATCACTGCAGCCACAAGCCAGAAGAAGTCTTATTTAGTAGAAGTCAATTATTTCAAAGAGAACTTACAGGACACGGAATAAAAACAGCCTAAAGAAACCTTCACCGCTGGTTTACAGAAACTAGTAAGAGTTTCCCTCCATTCTCCAGTCGCATCAAATCCAGCAAATTTATCCTTTGTTTCTCAATACTTACAACCTTTTATTAATGCTCAAAGTTTTCACTCATAATTCAAATCAGGGTAGATGGTTAAATGCAGTAGTTTGATGTGTTTGTTCCAGGATGGCACATTTCTGTGGAAAAGTAGTTATTAACCCACCAGAATTTAATAGTCACAAATGTGGTCAAATCATGACTGTTATTATTTCTCCTCTGGCTCTCGTGGTAAAATTTGATTGCTGTCTGTGGTTCTTTCATAACAGCAGCAAAGCTGCTCACTGCATTGCTCATGCTGATCTGTCTGACCAAACACTATGAGTAGCCAATAAAGAAGCGCCCTCTCAAGTCACAACATGTAACAGGCCAGCAACAAAGATTACTGTGTACCCCAACTGTTCTTTTAGAATAAATTTTGAGGGATATTGTCGGAGAATCATATAAAGTTTACAGCACAGAAGGTGGTATTTTGACCTATCATGGGTGGAGACAGTTCTCTAACCCAATTCCCCTGCACTTTTTCCATTTCCTTTAATATTTTCCCCCAAGTATTTATTTAATTCTGTTTTAAGCAGTGTTAGAAACAGCTCCAACAGATTATGGTGAAGCATTGCACATTTTAATAATCCTTAGTGTTAAAAAAAATTCTAATCCCTTTTCTCATCTTCTAGTGATAATCCTGAATTTATGCGTTTGCCAAAATTTATTTTTAAGTTGCATTTAATTTTATTCTAAAATAATAATCCTTACATTTAATATAGTGCCTTATCATGTCTTCTAGACGTCTCAAAGCGCTTCACAGAATATACTGTAAAGTGAATTGACTATATATTCTGTGGGTAAAACACGGCAGCCAATTGCGCACAGGATGTGTCCCACAAACAGTCGTGGATTAAGTGACCAAATTATTATTATTATTATTTTTCCAATAGGGATTATCATTTCCGGAAAAGCAATCCACCAATTGACTAATAGCCGGAGTCCTTCTTACTGCTAGGTAAACAAGAGGCGTGTGGATTTAACTTAAAAAAATAGTTATAATTGAAAAACCCAAATAGTAAAAAAAACTTTTGCATTCTAATGCAATGTTTAACAAAAACAAATGGCTTAAAAAAGTAATCTTATAGATCACAAAGATGATCACTGTGAAAACCTATTTATGCATGTTGACTATGTAGACATTTCAAAAGCATGTTTATGCCAATATCTGACTTGAAGCAGGTTGAAGAGTTTTAAAAAGCATGGAATAAGTGCAATTAGTGAACCCAATCATGAGACCATCTTTGGAATTCTAATCCTGAAATCAGTCCCTGAAGAGCTTGTCAACTATGTTCTGCTGTACAAAAAAATATATATATTATAATGATCACACCATGTGTGTTCAACTGGATTTAGAAACATTACACAAATCAAAGATGAAAATGAGCTACCTACCTTCTTTTGATTCAGTTTTCTGATCCTGGCTTTCCAGCTCAGATTCAGGTCCCAGATTGAGTTCGGGAATTTCATCTTCTTCATCCTCTGCAATGGATAAGAGTAAAAAATTTACATTGAATGTCACTGCATTGGAACAGGCCAAGCAGCCCAACTACCCCATGCTGATGCTTATAACACATGCAGCTTCCACTCCTCTTAATCCTCTTTCTTATACCCATCTATCCTTTCTCCCTCATGTATGCAAGAGGATTCCTCTGAAACGTCTTGATGCTTTTTGCTTTAGCCATGGAATCCAGCAGTGAGTTCTCCACCCCACCAGTGAGTTCTAGATATTTAACATCACTTCCTTGCTTTTGTACTCAATCCCCAAGTAAAACACAGATTTCCATTTGCCTTTTTATGGTTCCAACCTGAACTCCCATTATCATTTTTTTTTTGCCAGGTGTCTGACACGTGCGGAAACCCATCCTCCTGCCTCTTGTCACCCACCACCTCCTGTCCGTCCCCCTCACCTTCCCCATCATCAGCTCCTACCACAACCCCCATCCTACATTCCTTCCTCCCCATCTCTCCCTCCTCCCTCTTATCACCTCAATGAAACCCACCACCTGCTGCCTCAAGCCCCTCACCACCAACTTGCTGATCACCCAGCTTCCCCTCCTCTGCCCACTACTGGCTGACGTCATCAACCAGTCCCTCTCCTCCAGATCAGTCCCTGCCCTCCTCAAAACTGCTGTCATCACCCCACTCCTCCAAAAACCTTCCTTAGATCCTCAAACCACAGCCACTACCACCCTATTTCAAACCTGCCCTTCCTCCCAAAAGTCCTAGAACACGTTGTTGCCAATCAACTCCACACACACGTCTCCTCCCTCTTAGAACCCCTCCAGTCCGGTTTCCGCCCACACTACAGAGACTGCGCTTGTGAAAGTCTCAAACGACATCCTCTCTGTCTGTGACCAGGGCTCCCTCTGCCTCCTTGTCCTCCTGGATCTCTCCGGCGCCTTCGACAGTCAATCATGCCATCCACCTCAGTGGGACTGCACTCGCCTGGTTCGAGTCCTACCTCACGAACCGCCAGCAGCACATCTGCACAAAGAGCTTTTCCTTCCGCTCTCATCCGATTACCTATGGGGTACCCCAAGGCTCCATCCTTGGCCCCCTCCTCTTTCTGATCTATAAGCTCCTTCTTGGGGATGTCATCCGCAGACATGGGGTACACTTCCACATCTATACAGACGACACTCAACTCTATCTATCCACCTCTCTTTGCGACCTCCAATCCCCTGATGTTCTGTCAGCCTACCTGTCAGACATCAGGAGCTGGATGAGCGCGAATTTCCTTCAGCTGAACGTTGACAGGACATACTCTTTAGCTCTCGTCAACATCTAAAATCGCACCGTTCTCACCTCCTCCACCTACCCGACCTCCCCTTAAAAATCTCCGAACCCATACGCAACCTAGGCATCAGGTTCGACCCCAATTATCCTTCCTCCCCCATATCCGGTCCCTCACCAGCATCACTTTCTTCCACCTCCGACACACCACCCAACTCCGCCAATCCCTCACTCCAAAAGCCGCTGAAACCCTAGTCCATGCCTTTGTCACCTCTCGGCTGGACTATTCAAATGCCCTCCTCGCCGGTCTCCCATCCACCAAATCCAGGTCATACAAAACTCTATACCAAAATCTGCTCCCCGATTACCCCAGTTCTTGCCAGACTGCACTGGCTCCTGTCCCAGAGAGGATCGACTTCAAGATCCTCACCCTTGTCTTCAAATTCCTCCACTCCTCTGCACCCCCCTACCTCTCTGACCTCCTCTCTTCTCACAAAAGTGCCCGCTGCTGTCGTTCCACTGGGTCTGGACTCCTCCTTGTCCCCCGAGTCCTTCGCTCCACCATCAGTGGCCGTGCCTTCAGCCATTATGCCCCGAGGCTCTGGAACTCCCTTCCTCACTCCCTTCGCCTCGCCCCCTCTCTTCCCAGTTTCAGGTTTCGGCTAAAGACCTTTCTTTTCGACCGCGCATTTGGTCACCTTCCTCCCTCTCCCTCTGGATCCGTTACTGTGAAGCACTCTGAGACGCCATCCGGCATGGAGAGCGCTATATAAATCCAAGTTGTTGTTGTTAAGAATATCCAAACCAAACGGGTAATTCCAAGCATCCCACCTACACATGGAAATCCCAGAGATGATTGTTGGAATGGAATGCACTCTCTCCCCCGGAGGGACGCCTCCTGCTTACCTAATTTCGTAAAGTATTAGGCACAGGTTGGCAGGAGCCAAGGCTTGAGGATCCCGGTTTGCATTGAGGAACTGCCCTTGACACCTTTAAACTATTCCAATTTGGATAAATTCATGTCTTTGTTCTTTTCCCTTAAAAGTTATTTTCCCTTTTCTGAATAGAATTTCACATCTTCATAACCCTGGATGTGACCTCACCCTTCATGACCTCAGTTCAAACTGTATTGGTTCTGATTTTAAGGTAATTACCTTTATAATGCATCTCTCTTGCAGATGGAAGAGTTTCCCACTATCTATAACCTATCAATTCCTTTCATTATTTTAAATACCTCAATCAAATCATTTCCTAACCTCCTCCAAGGCAAGTGTATGCTTCCTATGTTTGGGTGCCTAAAAATGAACTTGGTGCTCAAAACAAAGGTGCCAAGTGCTCTACATAACTGGCGCAGCACCTCCTTAATTTTATCCAGATACTTTGTGATAAAAGCCAGTCATTTGTCATCCAATTTGCCTTATGGACTGCTTTCTGCACCTGCAAACTGGTTTTTAATGATCTAAAGGGATTTAAATCTAAGGGATTTAAATCCCTAAATCTCTCGTCTTCTATTGATCTTAGTGCTTCTCCATTTAGGAGATTACTCTTCCATCCCAAGTGTACTACCTCGTACTATGCAATGTTAAACTATATCTGAAGTAGTTCTGACCACTTGCTTATTCTATCTATGTCTGTATTTTTCACCTATTGTCTTCACAATGTACAACACATCCTAGCTTGGTGTTATCTGCAACTTGGAAATAGTCCCCTCTATTCATGTAATGAGGCCAGTTCTCAGACTTGGCACAAAAGATTTTCGGTGCAGGAAATGGAAAAAGTTGTATTTGTTCTCTCCTGAGATTGGGACTGAGGCTTCATTGTTAACACTGAATTGAAAGTGGTTTACACTAGAGCTCACCGTCTATATTATCGTACCTGCTTCTGACAATGAGTGTCTGAAATAGAGAATTCCCCAGTTCACAATTCCCCAGTATCAACATGTGTTGCCTGGAGAGAAAAAATAATTCAACAATTCTATCTCAAATATCTTGCGTAGATGTTATGCTTAATTCTCTTTAGGAAAGCTCAAGTAAGCCAACATCACATAAGACAGAATCTTGCTTTTTAATGAATCTTTTTAAAACTCCCTTTTATTTTTGAATAGTGCCATGGAATCTTTAATGTCCGCCTGAACAGACAGTCAGAATCTCGATTTAACGTCTCATCCAAAGACAGCAACTCGTTACATAGCAATACATTGGAGTGTAAGCTAAGAATATAAGCTCCAAGTACCAACATAGGGCTTGAATTCACAACCTTCTGACTCAGCGATAAGAGTGCTACCATCCTAGCCAAGATAACAATGAATTGGGGAATTCACCACTTTAAATGCAGTCACAATGATCAATGCCCAAATCTTTCCTTCCCTCCAAAACAAATGATAATCCTTACATTTGGTGTAGTCTTTCACATCAGAAGGACATCCTGAAGCCCTTCACAGATATACTATAAAGTGGAGTGATTATGTGTTTTGTGGGTGAACTGCGCAGACAATTTCGCACACAGCAATGTCCCACAAATATCCACGGAGTGAATGTCCAGTTTTGCTTGATAATTTATAATGCATCGTGAGTAAAGCATCAACTTTACTCTTTACTCTTGTAGTTTTATGTGAACTGTACTTCTAAACAAATCCTAAAATATCCAGCTACAGAATTTATCCAGTAGCTTAAATGTTATAGGAATATACATTTAATTGCATACATTTGTATATTAGGTACAGCCAAAGAGATCAGTGCTGCTTGTAACACAAACAGTGATGTTTAGCTTCTACATGATCTAGAATTGCCTCAATAATGACTCCCAGAGAGTAACTATTTTCTAATACAGTTTCTACATCTAGGTTGCAAATCCTTGGCCTCCAAATGAATGGGTCTGAAGGCTGTGCAAACATCAGCCTGAAAAGGCTTGTGAACCTGGTCACCTTAATACCCACCAACTTGTTATATATATATATATATATATACACACACACACACACATTTCTCACCAGTTTCATCAGCTAACTTGCTTCTAGGCATAAAACGATTCTGAACTAAAAGGTTAATGACTTTGGGCCAGAGATCATTAAAAGTGTAGCATTTAAATCTTCAAAAATGTAACAAGTGTTCAAATTCTGATTCTGAGAACACTTAAAGAAAGCACAATTTGTCTGAAATTTAAAAATGAAAAATGCATCATGCAGATGTTTCATGGCTCTGGTTTATACTTGCAACAGTTGCAATCTTCTTAGATTCTTAACGACTAGACATGGAATGCTATTTTTTACCTGTGAAGCAGAAACAGTTGCAGCTGCCTTTTCTTTTGCAAAGGTTAAGAAATGTCAATTATACCACAGCCTGTGCATGGTGAAAGGAAAAATGCAAAAGGAAATGATCTTTCCAGAAACAAGTATGAACCTTCCATAGCATCTGGTAGCTTTGAAAAGATTGAAGATTTTTTTTAAAAAAATGAATCAGGAAAGGTAAAGAAGGGGTTAACTGGATAGTTAAGAGACAAAACAATTAAACATACCTCAGTGTACGTTACTTAAAATCTTATGGACGTTTAACTGAATGAACTTGTACAAACGAATAGATATACATAAAAAGAGCAAATTTTCAGACGAAACCAATTTAATTTTAAAGCATTTAAGCTGCAGAGATGTAGAAAGCTAACTTTTGTTTAATCTGCCATCATACAAATCCGCTTGTATTCACTTTTCCAGTGGTAAATCTTTATAATTTAGAAAACTTGCCTTTGAAGTA